ACCTAATTGGTGGTTAATCAATCAAATAAAGTAACAAGATTTAGCTAACTAACCTGACCTTTTTATCTCGAGATTGAAATCATAATATCAAATATATGCACAACTTCAAAATGATAATACAGAAATTAAAATTCACTTTTTCAATATAAAATCGACGTATGTGTACGTGAAAAATTAAGTATAGCATTATAAATTCATAAATTGTTTCATTTCCCGACCATCAATGGTCAAATATGTTTTTCATCACTCGTAAGATTCACACACCCCAAACTTATTCTTTTTACTCTTTTCCATTGTGTGAACTAAGGTTGGATTTTTTTTACTATTCTTACCTCTCTAATTTGGTACAATTTCACTAATTGCAGTTCAACATTTTAATAAACAAAAATTCTCCATTAGGTTTGATTGTTTCCATCTCTAAGACTTAATTAGGCTAACAATCTCTTATCAAAAGTCAAATTTTCTTAAACAAGTGTTTAAGATTTAATCAAGACATTCGGTGCGTCTTCTATTTCATGCACCTTCTTTTTCTGAATTTTTTTATTTTGTTAGTTTTTCTTTATTTTAAGTATTATCTCCCTTAAATTTTCTAAATGGCCCATATAACAAGCGTTAGGCCGATAATTCCCAAATCAAATGACCATATGGCACCAGGTTTTAAAAACCCTTGCAGTCTTAATTGATCGAGTCATAAAAGTTACGAAGAGAAAATTTCAAATAAAAATTTTTTATGCCTTGATTAGTGCAATGTCACTCATTAAACACCAATTCAAGTAAAACAATCTCTAACTTGAGATTTTCACTCAATTGCATCCTATTGACCTTAAACAATCCACACAAGATTTTTAATTTCACACATGGAATCTCCACTTATCTCAATATCTTCTTATAACAATNTAGACAATCTTTAGAAGATTTTAATTGCACACATAAAATTCCTATTTATCTCATATCTTCCTACAATAGTAAAATCCTCCCAAACTATTCTAATTTGGTCCAAGAATGTAAAATTTAGTGATTTTTGGTTTAACATCTATGGTCCACTATTTCAACATATCCAATTATGAAATCAATTCATTCATACACATTGCTTAACTTAATTTATGTGCTTAATATATATCAAATTTCACATGAAAAAGAAAATATTAATCTAAGTATGTAACTTATTCACCATTCATAAATTAATTCATAATTCAATATATTCTTCATTGTCGGCCAGGGCAACTAATTTACACAAGTACAAAAATGAAAAATATTATATTATATTATATTTTTTATTTTTTTTTCAATTTTCCAAACTTTTTTTTATTAAAGCAATAAAAGCACACAAATACAAAAAAAATTGAAAACTCGTGATTTTCACTCCCAAACTTAAACTAGATATTGTTCTCAATGTCTTTAATCATAAATCTGCATATAAAGGGGTGGGGAAGAAAGTGAATAACTTATTTTCCTTCTTTCGAATGCATAAAATAGACCACCACATTCACAAAACTACCGTGCACAATAATTATGGAAAAAAGAAAATCATATAAATCAATCAATATCCAAAAACGTGTTTTCAATGCTAAAGATTAAAAATTCATATTACACGGTTCATCGATCTCATAACACAAAGAAAACTAACCTAACATATAATGAGAAAGAAAACAAAAGAAAAATTGAAGAATCGACATCATCCAAATAAAGTTTGAATTGAATCTTTAAGTCTTGGAATCGATCTTCGTGTTTATGGCCTCCTTCTATACTCCCATAATCTCTTAGAATATGTTGTAATGCGTGATAACTACTTCTGGTCGACCCTAGGTATTTAAAAGACGTTCTAAGATTTGTTTGCATAAAAATTGCAATCATATAAGGATACCAGAATTTTTTCCTGAACTAGCCTGGGCGGGCACTCAGTAGAAAATTGGCCGCCCGCCCAAGCATACCAAACGACCCTATATTTTAAGTTTAAGTCTGTGCATCCGCCTGACCAATATAACTAGGCGGTTGCCCAGTTATTAAAATTTCACGAATTTTCCTTTCAGCACTTTTCTTCATTTTTTCTTCCATCTTGATCATCCACATCAAATTACTTCAACTTTTAGTACTTCAACTTTTACTGAAATGCATATTAATCTCCAAACTTCCATTCATTAACCAACTGATCATTCTTTCTATTCCAATTTCTTATAAATGGGTCCAAAATTGAAATAAGATAAAACTAACCTAAGTTAAGTAAAATCAAATACTAAAATGACACAAAGCTTAGTAATATGACCTTAATAAGTACACAAAAATGCACTTATCATACTCTAAAAGCTATTTTGATTATCACTTGCATAAAATATTGTGATCAAAAGTAAAATTAATTTTCAAAATTATATTTGAACTTTGATCATATTTTTAAAACATCATTTATCTTGGAAACTAGTTAAAAACACATTCCAAAGGTCTACATTTATCAAAATATTCAAATTGGATCAAACGGGGTAAAAAGGGGGAAAATTGACCGAAATGGTCAGACGTTCAGATGCTCATCTAGTTGGTCATTTAAATCCCTAGAAAGTTGTGAAAGGCAAACATCTGATTCCTCCGTGCTGACGTCCGGTTGATGCAACGATTGAATTTTTAACTATTAAATTTCATATGTATAACGATTATTTTGGTCGTTCGAATAAAAAAGCAGACGTTCGATTCGACAGAGTATTTTACTTTTTAAGCTCTATAAATACCCTTACTCTTCCATTGTTTAATGAGAGTTTCAAGAGCATCAAAGTAAGATATACTTTGAGAGAATTCTTTGAGCTTGCCTTTGCATTCATTTCATTTATGCCAATATATCAAAAACTTTAATTGATTTAACTCTTTAATCATCATCCTCATCAAAGTTTTTATCTCTCTTTTTGTACTTAACTTATATCTATTATTCATAAAAGATGGATATATTTCAAAGAACATTTTTGAATTTACATTGCATACATTTCTTCTATTTCTTTATATTAAAATTTTTGATTGATTGAATCAAACTTGTAAAATTATCATATTCATCAAAGTTTCTCATTTTTCTCTTAATACTTATTAATTTACTGTAATCATTCATTAAAATAGATATATATCTTGTGAAGATTTTTGAACTTATAATGCATTTATTTCTTCTTCTTAATCATCATCTCATTGAAAAGCTTTGGTTGATCGAATTTAATTTTTAATTATAATATTTATCAAAATTTTCATGTGTGTTGTTATTCATTGAAGTATTAAACTCTCTTAGTACTTAATTCATTTGTATCATTCATAAAAAAAGGAGTTCATTGTAAAATTATTTTGCTATACTTGTGGGTCATATTGAGGTCTCGTAAAACTCAATAGTGTTGGTCATATTGAGATCCCGTAAAATTTAATATTGTATAAGGATCGGTACTCCTT